TGAACGACCTTAAGGGTAAACCCCTTCGGCCCAAGTACACCAGTGGGGGTACATGGTTGCCACATATTGGTCGCACCAATTCCCTCACATCGAGGGTGATCAGGTGCATCACAAATCACGCTCCAGTAGGAGAGTACTATCGCAGGTTCCATATTCCGGAATCTGAAGATTGTAGGTGTGGGCGGGCCCTCGAGACTCGCTTGCATGTGTTGTTCCGCTGCCCACAGGCAGCACGCACGGGGCCCATCAGATATCTGGGGGACCTTGTTAAATTCCTCGATGCCAACCCACGAACGTTCGCAATGAGAAACCAGCTCCCTAGAGCTGGAGTGGGATGAGCAACGCTGGCCTGGATTAGGTGCTCAGCAGACCCTTCGGGGTGGCGCGGGACTTGCAGCCGGGCATAGGCCGCGGGTTGTTAAAGGGCTGTGGCACTAGGGTGTACCAGGTCGGTGGAGCTACCTTATTTGCCCACAGGCGCTCGGCGCAGTGGGTTCGTTCTGCCAGCTGGCTTCGGGCGGCTGGCCTATATAACGAAGTGGAGGGGAATTCTAGCATTGTTTTATTATGGGCGTGACGCGCATGTATGTAGATAGTGCTGGGCCCGGACTGCGATCGGGCACCGGGATATAAATGGTAGATTCAAAAAAAAAAAAAAAAAAAAAAAACATCAAGACTACAGCTAGTCGACCAAAACTGAGGGTTAAGTTATTCACTCCTCTGTGCCAGAACTTCTATGGCTGTTAGATAAGATGTAACTGCACACACAAAGGAACAGTAGTCTATATATGGAACAATAACAAGTCCAGAACGAGTAACTGTTGTGTATAAGAGAACAATGAGGACAATAAATGGAATAGGTCATGAAGATGATGTGAAAGAACAAGGATGCAGGAGGAAATGATGTGGAAAGAGGAAATGGGCGTCTGGTAGGCATCAATGTAACAAATGGGTGTCAAAAGTAGCAAACAGGTGCTAGAAGGGGAATGGGCGCTAAGAAATGAAAAGATTGGGGAAAAGCGGCACTTCATGACAAGCTAGTCAATTCTCCTGGAAAAGAAAAGGAGAAAAAGAGGGAGCAATGGTGGAACAGTGAACAATGGATGGACATCCACATGTTCCTTAATGAAATGAAAGTGAACAGTGGAGCAAGAAGTGTTGACCTATAGGATTCTGGGTCAGTGGTACAGGAAAGACAGGATTGGAGGTCAGCATACAATTTATGGTCATATTCATGACTGGTCCCAAGTGCTTGTAAATCTTAGAAATGTGAATTCTTGTCTTCACCAAACTGAAAGGGACAGAATGGGCATTCCATGAGCAACATGGCATGATCAGAGAGTGAGTATTTCAGGTGCTCTGAGACTAACATTTGCCCATACATTGAATAGATAAGACCTAAATGCATGAAAGAAAGGGGAAGGGAAAGAAGGAGTGCCGCTGGTGATGGTGCAAGTGTCATGAAGTGCCGCTTTTCCCCTATCTTTTCCTTTCTTCATCCTTGTTCTTTCACATCGTCTTCATGACCTATCCCATCCAGTGTTTCCTTTGTTCTCTTTGCTCTTTTGTATACAACAGTTACTTGTTCCAGACTTGTTCTTGTTCTATACCTTTTTTTTTTTTTTTTTTTTTTTGGAATCTACCATTTATATCCCGGTGCCCGATCACAGTCCGGGCCCAGCACTATCTACATACATGCGCGTCACGCCCATAATAAGACAATGCTAGAGTTCTCCTTCCACTGCGTTATATAGGCCTGCCGCCCGAAGCCAGCAAGCAGAACGAACCCACTGCGCCAAGCACCTGTGGGCAAATAGGGCAGCTCCACCGACCTGGTACACCCTAGCGCTACAGCCCTTTAACAACCCGCGGCCTATGCCCGGCTGCAAGTCCCGCGCCACCCCGGAGGGTCTGCTGAGCACCTAATCCAGGCCAACGTTGCTCATCCCACTCCAGCTCTAGGGAGCTGGTTCCTCATTGCAAACGTTCGTGGGTTGGCATCGAGGAAGTTAACAAGGTCCCCCAGATATCTGATGGGCCCCGTACGTGTTGCCTGTGGGCAGCGGAACAACACATGCAAGCGAGTCTCGAGGGCCCGCCCACACCTACAATCTTCAGATTCCGGAATATGGAACCTGCGATAGTACTCTCCTACTGGAGCGTGATTTGTGATGCACCTGATCACCCTCGATGTGAGGGAGTTGGTGCAACCAATATGTGGAAGCCATGTACCCCCACTGGTGTACTTGGGCCGAAGGGGTTTACCCTTAAGGTCGTTCAGTTCCAAAAACTGCCCGCCCTTGTACTTTGCCTCCTGGAAGCGCGTCACCCACGCGTCCTGGCAGGCGTCCGTAGCCTTCTTATGAAGATAATCAAGGGATGTCTGTGGTGCGCTGCCCACCCCTATAGGGGGCATACCTCGCACAAACAGGTGGGCCGAGTGGTGCACTGACCACTTGGCACTGGAGGGGACCTCGACGAACTTGATCTCGCGATCATCGTCTCCTAGGAGCCACTCATTCAACGCCTTGCACACTGCCAAGGAATGAGCCTGGCCTGAGTGCAAAGACGGATCTACAGCTTTCTCAGCCGCAGCTATGGAGTCTGTGAAAACTGTGATGCGCTTTTACGGTTCAGCCCCAGAGGTAACCCGGGTCACCGCAAAACGTATTGCTGCAAGCTCTGCACATGGAGCCAAAACGCGCCCCGAAGCAAAACAAGAGCCAAAGACCCTCTCTCCACCCACATAGGCCTCAAATCCGGCCACCAACTGGTGCCGTGTTGAAGGGGGGACGGAGGCGTCTGTTGCCACCACTATCCCTTCTGGGTCCCACTCGCACCCCAGGAGGAGGCGATCCAGGTGATCAGAGCGACTTTCCCCTTCAGCCTCTTGATCCGAGGCCTTAGGGGACTTGTCGAAACAGATCCGGTTCGGGAATAAATCTCGAATCCGGTTTCCAGGAGCGGCCAGCCCATCGGCTAGGTCAAACCACTCTGTAACTTCGGGCATGGTGGCTACCATGTCCGGTACGGGGCCCACAATCTTCTTGGCCCGTGGATGTGGCCTAGAGGTCATGGAGAGAGGGTGGCGGTCTGCCCGCTGAGATAAACCCGATGGGAACAACACCCGAAGAGGGTGTGTGCCTGTGAGGGTGGACCCCCTGAGAGCGGCTCGCTTGGCCATCTTCTGGAGGTGAAGGTCAACGGGGATCAGGCCTGCAAGGGCCTCGATCCCCCCAGTCGGGGAGGTGCGAAAAGCACCACAAATCCATGGTAGAGAGGCTTAACCATGTTCCACAAGACCTGATAGTCTAGTGGTTAGACTGCCTCGACAAATTGCCTTATCAGATGGTCGCAAGAGGTGCTCAGGTTCGACTCCTGGTCGGGTCACTACGTTATTGGGACATGTCATTTTTTTGGGGTTTTCCGATTTGATTGGGTGGATATCTGCATGAGGGAGAGAGGGTTCTTCCCAGAAGGATCAGGGGAGAGGTCGAGAGTATGTGGAAGCGCACCCTCTCACAATTCTTCTGGGAAGAATCACTAACCTAACCTAAGTGTGCACTCCATAATCTCTGTTGTTTATCCACACCTATGATCAATATATTCATCACGTATGATTCTCAAAAGGAAATCCACATTTTCTATGTCTCTACTACTGTGTCATGTACTAAGTCAAACCACTTTACACTCTACACGTGTCTACTGTAGCAGATGACAAGAAATTGCTGCTTTGGAAGCATACACGGTTGATGGTTTCTGCCGAGATATGAGAAAAGAGGAAAAGAGTCTGGAACGTGTGAAGCATTGGTCATGAGATGTGTTTTCAAAGCCGAAACGGGGCAGATACTCAGCCCCCAGCTCCCTCATAGTCTTCGTTCATGGTATGTGGTATGTGCATAAAGTAAATCTGAATGGTATGGTGAGTATTGGGCATGTACTATAGCGATTCAGCAGAAACGACGTACCCTTGTCCCATGAACAAAATGATTGTTTTGAGTGATTGAAAAGCCTGATTGCAAGGTGAGCTAGGAGCCAATAATCAGGAGACAGGAGTAGCACACACCTGCTCAGAATGTCCACGTGCGAGACGACAAGTGGAGATTGCGTCTTGGAGAGGGGATGGGGACCACCCCAGACTGCAGAGTGAAAGAATCACCATGAGTAGCAAAGTTTTCCAAGAGGAATCACAGAGTGCGGAGAGAGTTGATGTGCATGATTCTTCCAGGAAGAATCACTCACACCCATCAAAACGCAAAAGATAAAAAATTACATCTCCGCACCACAACCTGACCAGGAGTCAAATCCAAGCAGCACCTGCTATGTGCGGAAGAAAACAGCTTTATTTGTGGAGGCGGTCTAACCACTAGACTATCAGGTCTTGTGGAACACTTTGGCTTCGTTATTATAGTCAAGCAGAACGGCCGACCCAGCCACATTCCCCTGTTGTAGAGCCATGCTCCCTCAATGGCAAGGCCTGCTTCTTCGATCTGGAAGCCTGTGTTTTCTATTGGAGTACAATGCCACCGCTGAGATTTTTCTGAGTCAGAGCACAGAGGACACCTCCGACTGAGAGCTTGTACAATATGTACAGTAGGCAATTGTGAGTGGTTCTTTCTGGAAGAATCACTTGAGAAATGGAGGGTGAGAGTGTGCATATAGGCAAGTGATTCTTCCAGGAAGAACCACTCACAACTGCTCTCTGTCTCTCTCTTTCTTTCTCTTGTCATGCACATTTACACTCTGGTTCTTCTTGGAAGAATCACTTACAAACCACTCACCCTCTTCCCTCTGCAATTCTTCCCGGAAGAACTGGGTCTCTCGAGATGCTCTGTGAGTGACAATGCATCTCACTCATGTATGTCAATCCTTCTGAGTGCAGATGTTGAAACTCGTGGATATAGATATCGAAATTCGTGAGTATAGATGTCAGGAAAACATCTACTGGGCGTCTCAGGACAGTCCCTCTGATCCCAAATTCGCACTCGACAATCATCTCGCCATTAACCAACCACCACCGAATAAGCACTTATTCTCCTATGCACACAAAGGCCGCCTTTGACCCCTTACCTCGAGACGCTTTCCTCAAACGGTTGAAGTCCGCCTTCATGGCTGCGGGTCTCAATATCCTACAGCTACATGGGATCCGCATAGGCTTGACCATCAAATACCTGTCACGTGGTCTTCCCCTTGAGGTCGTAAAGGTGAAAGGCCGCTGGACGAGCGACTCATTGATGCTGTATTTGCAAAAACATGCACAAATCATGGCGCCGTACATGCAGTCAGACCCGGGGATGTACAGAGGGGTGCTCTGAACAATAATACGTTGATTCTAACATGATGAATGACAAACCGAATTTTTGGAAAGAATGTTTTGCCCTCCCACCCACTTCCGGGGGGAGGTCAGCCTCTCAACACACCTCCACTCATCCGGTATGCCGGCGACTGACCGTTGTACGTGGGTGCTCAGATTGGGATCACAGCCACCATAACCTCATGAGCTCAGGTGGTCCCAGAGCGACTCAGACTTGATTTTGGACAGGTACATGTGTTGGACGCGCCCCCCAGGTGGATATTATGCAGCCCATCAGGTGCATTCAACATACCTCCTGTGAGCTCTCAATTATTAACGCGTGTTATCAACAGCCTGTTATTTAACAATGTTAGCAAATACAGCATTGTTCCCCATACCCTAATGCAGACGCAGATGCAGACGCACAAACACTGAAAGATCCTAGAAAAATAAGGATGGCATATGAATGTGTGATTGTGCGTGGTTCTTCCTAGAAGAACCACCACAAGTAAGAAAACAGACACATTAAGCTGTCGGGCAGGCCTCAGGACTGAGAGCAAACACATTCAGCACTGGGCGGTTAGGCATCATGCGAGCGTGATGTGGGCGCCTGTTTGCGTCTTCAGGTTTGCACAGACACACCCGCCCTCGCTCTTCTTCCAATTTAGTGTAATTCCCTCAAGAAGAATAGGGAGAGAGGGAGATTGAGAGAGAGGGGTAGTGACACAGGGTGAGAGTGCATACTTAGGTTAGTGATTCTTCCCAGAAGAATTGTGAGAGAGTGCGCTTCCACATACACTCGACCTCTCCCCTGATCCTTCTGGGAAGAACCCTCTCTCCCTCATGCGGATATCCACCCAATCAAAACGAAAAACCCAAAAAAATGACATGTCCCTACAAGGTAGCGACCTAACCCTAACCGGGAGTCGAACCCGAGCACCTCTTTCTACAAAATCGGCGAAAGCCATTTGTTGAGGCGGTCAAACCACTAGACTATCAGGTCTTGGGGAACATAGGGAAGCTTTGTTACTATAATCGGCCACAATGGCCCACCCAGCCACATTCCCCCGTTGTAGAGCCATGTTCCCTCAATGGCAAGCCAAGCCTGCTTTTTCTGTCGGAGAAATAATGCCGACGCTGGAGAAAGCTGAGACACCTCCGGGACTGGACATGGATCATCAACGTAGAGCCGTATTCCCTCAATGAGAACCAATCGGAATTGTCCTTTGTCACTTTTGTACAATCACCTACAGTCTCTCTGTGATTCTTCCAGGGAGAAACATCTAGGGAAAAGCACATGCAGACGCACATGCACACACATACACTCAAACATTGAGGGAGAGGGACAGAGACAGAGATACAGGGTGAGGGTGTGCACATATACATGGGTGATTCTTCCTGGAAGAATTGGGATGGCGTAATGAATGTGTGTCTACTGCTTCGTCCAGGAGGAACCACTCGCATACTTCCCTGATGACTGTTAACCGAAGGGTTGGCATCTAACCTTTAGCCGAGGGGTTAGGCCCCTAATCCTCCAGCCGAATAGTTTCCGTGCATTAATGTGAGTCCTTTGTCCCAGAAGGACTGAGGGAGTAGCCGTAAGGGCACACAGGTGTGCTTTCCCTGAAGAATCAGGGGTAAGAGAGGGAGAGAGAGGAAGCAAGTAAGCACTTATGCACTCTGCGGTTCTTCCCGGAAGAATTGGGGAAGTGATTGTGGAGTCAATCTCTCTGTGAAAGGATTAGATGTGGTCACTCTGCTCCTCTCTCTCTCTCTCTCCTGAATTCCTCCAGGAAGAACCACGGAGAAAGAGAGGGAGTGAGCGAGAGAGGCAGAGAGAGAGAGAGAGAGAAAGAAAGAGAGAGAGGGTGTGTGTGTGATTGTGCATGATTCTTCTAGGAAGAATCACCATAGCTCGATGTGGCTGAGTGGGCCGTTGTGCTCGCCTATGGTAGAGAGGCTTAACTACGTTCCACAAGACCTGATAGTCTAGTGGTTTGACCGCCTCAACAAATGGCTTTCGCCGATTTTGTAAAAAGAGGTGCTCGGGTTCGACTCCCGGTTAGGGTTAGGTCGCTACCTTGTAGGGACATGTCATTTTTTTGGGTTTTTCGTTTTGATTGGGTGGATATCCGCATGAGGGAGAGAGGGTTCTTCCCAGAAGGATCAGGGGAGAGGTCGAGTGTATGTGGAAGCGCACTCTCTCACAATTCTTCTGGGAAGAATCACTAACCTAAGTATGCACTCTCACCCTGTGTCACTACCCCTCTCTCTCAATCTCCCTCTCTCCCAAATCTTCCTGAGGGAATTACACTAGATTGGAAGAAGAGGGAGGGCAGGTGTGTCTGTGCAAACCTGAAGACGCAAATAGACGCCTGCATGACGCCCACCTCCAGAGCATTTCTCCATTGGTAGGTCTAACACTTGAGTCCATAGTTTGAGGCAATTGACTGGGCATGGGAGACGGAGGGCGGTTGTGATAAAAGAGGGTTGCTGGGTGGTTGAAGGGAAGCAAGAGGGGAAGAAACGATGGATTGAATACGCCCATGATCGGTGGTCGCTCAATGCTAGTTGTTGGTAGTGATAAATGTTGAACGTTAAAGTCAGTACTCAGCTTAGGATAAGAGAAAAATAATAAACCAAGTCAGAAATCATGATCGTTGGCAGCCTTGCGTTATTGGTAGGCTTGATAAACGTTCGGGGTTCTCATGCCTGTGTCATACCTCGGGTGAATGCTGTACGCGTACTTGTCTGCAAGTAAACTTCCCAACTGTTCACAAGTGTCACATTATGCGTTCTCCTCCATCACTTTTTTCTGGTTTCATTACCTTCTCACATCGCCTACTTCCACTGTGAACATCCACTGATATATTTTCTTCATACATAGCCAATGTGGCTTCTTCTTGTCCGAGAACCTATCCACATTGACCTGAACAATCCCAACAACCACCCCAACAGCCTTAACATTCGATGAGTGGTGTACTCGGTCGCATGCAATCGACCTTCAGACGGACATATGGCAAGTGCTTACTGGGCTGGCTTCACTGGTTTGTATGTCCCTGGCATACCTTGACGAACTCCGGTTGTTTTTGGCAGA